TTTCACACAAGCCAAGCTATGCCCCTCTGTGTGGGCCTCCTCTCCAGCTCCTCAGCTCCTTGAGTTCTCTGGATTTGCCAAGTCTCACCTCCACTATTAGTCAAGATCCTGCAGAGGATCACGATCAATAAACACATAAGGAGGGGTTTAATCAACTGGCTTCTGCGGTTAGGGACACAGGAGTTCTGCAATGGCTACCTGTCAGCTGGAATGTTGGGGAAATCAGTATGTTCAGTCCAAGATTCTGGAAGCTTCAGCACAAGGCGGGCCACGGTGCAGTCCTGATTGGAGGATGAAGACTTGGAAACCCCCGGGGAGTCATCAGTGCTCATCTGCCTGCAAATGCTGGTGAATCTGGAGACGGATGCCCTTGAGCTGTGGCGGTCACAAAACAATGCATGTGCTCAGGAAGGGGTTGACAGCTGCATGAACTTGAGCTTCCCTCCAGGCCTCTAGTCTGTTTGGTGATTCTGTACTCAGTGACGGTCTTAGGCTTTCGTTTTGCTGACTGACCCACGTGTTCTGGGAATCACTGATGGGTTTTAGCAGCACTCTTACCCCCAAGGAAAAGTCATGAAACACAACAGAACCCCCTAACAAGAGTATTATCAAGACAAGGAGAAAGGGACAGATGTGATCATGCCTGAGGAAGGACAAGTGTGAGAAAGAGGGCAGGGGAACATGGGGCCCGACTTATAAAAGCCAGGTTGAACCTGCGCACACAGGACCACGTGGCTATTCCATACATGCACATAGATCACATGGTCACGTCCCCGTGATTATGTGACAACGGAGCCATGGGGCATTGGCTATAGAGGACGTAGACCCAGAAACGACTAGGTGGAGATGACTAAGTGTCGCGCCAGGCATGCACGACCATGGTGGCATGGGTGGAATTCCTATCAATCACTCTCAAGGACACAGCAGAAGTAGGCTTGTGTTTGTCAGTTTTTCATTGCTGTGACAAAATACTCGAGGCAAACAACAACGTAAAGGGGGAAATGTTTGCTTTGGCTCTCTCTCATTCAGAGGTTTCAGCCATGGCCAGCTGCATCATTGTTACATGAGCTGTTGGTGAGGCCCAACATCATGGCAAGAGGCTGTGGCAAGAGAGTATGGTGGAGCAGAGTTGCTTACCTCCAGCCTGCCTAGAAGCAGAGAGAACAAGAGAAGATGTTGGCTTCAAGAAAGGTACATTCCTCGTGATGGACTTCTTCCCACATGGCTACCCATCCTCCTTTTCACCATCTCCTAATAACACTACCAAAGCCTGAATCCAAGGACTAGAAAGATGATTCAGCAAAATAGGTGCTGGACAAGGGTGAGAATCTCAGTTTGATCCTTGGCACTGGTGTTAAAAAAGCTGTCATGACCGTGCATGTTTGGCATGGCAGAAACAAGAAGATTCTGGGCTGGCTGGCCAGGCTAGCTGAATTCGTAAGCTTAAAGGTCAGTAAGATGGAGACACAGGAACATTCACACACACACACACACACACACACACACACACACACACACACACACACACTATGAATCCATCAATGGATGAAATCTACTGATCAGGTCGGAGCCATCATAATGCAGCCATTTTTCTAAAGTCTTATTTGCTGACAATCCACCTTTTGACATGGGAGCCTTTAGGGCCCTTGTAGTGCATTCCTGCTGAGCTCCTGGCCTGGTTCCAGAGAGCAGCACCTAGCCCTAATCTTTCCTTTGTTTAACCACACCTTTTGTTTCTCTTACCTTTTGTTTCTGTTATTGCCCTATGAGAATCTTGTTTGAGAGTCAGGATCAGAGAGACCCCAGGGATCCAAGGCCTATGCAAAACTTGGTCCAGGAAACCTGGAAAACCGAGGTAGCTGACAAACGAAGTAATTTGCACTTGACATTTGGTCTCTGGGAGCTCCTTTTAGGATGCTTGGAAGGTACAGAAATTAAGTGGCTAAACTGTAATAGAGAGTAAATATGTATGCCCTAGGTGAAGAGAAAGTGCTTCAGTCCTTCAAGGCTGGACGCCCCTGCAGCCATGAAAGGCTAGATTCAGTCTTTTGTTTTATTTATTTATTTATTTATTTATTTATTTATTTATTTATTTATTTAATTTTTTTTCCAGAGCTGAGGATCAAACCGAGGGCCTTGTGCTTACTAGGCAAGCGCTCTACCACTGAGCTAAATCCCCAGCCCTAGATTCAGTCTTAAGATGCCTCTGAGTCTTCATTCCATGGACCCACGGGAACACACAGTTACAGGCCCTCTTACATGCAAACATGGTAACAGTTCTTCACCTCTCTTCTAGGTGTCTCTCAAGTCAAGTTGACAACCAAAGTCAATCATGATTTGCAAATGGCCGAGGTGCCTATTTAACATATCAAAGCGGACTCTAGCCTCCAGGCTCCTTCAGTCTCTACTCACAAGCACTCGCCACAGAGTCATCCTGGCTGACATACCCCGCCCTCATACCTCCAGCCCTTGGGCTTCTGGGTTCCTTTATATAACCTCAGGCATTTGGCTGTGCATCCTTTGGAGCTCTTGGTTGCATGCATGCTCTCTGGCCTTCTTGGTCTCTTGGTCTCTGGGGGTTCCCAGGTACTCTGTTTGCTCCCCCTCTCCACTCTTCTCCTCCTCTCTCGCTCCCCACCCCACCTCAAGGCCCAGGTCAGTCTGGACTCTTCAGATGACTCAGGCTGTTTTCTCCCTCACATCTCCTACAAACCTTCTCCTCAATCCGTACCTGGGAACAGCGTAGCCTTCATTTCCCCCCTCCAGCGCCTCTTCAGTCATCCTCTCCCACTTTCTCTGCCTTTGCATGCTTGCTTTATCGCATTTAAGAAATTGTAAATTTACATGTAAGCATTTTTCTCTTGTTTATTGTCTGTGCCCCACCCCCACCCCTTTCTGGACTGAGAATGCTCAATTAGACAAGACGAGGAGTACCTCGTTCTCTACCTGGCTGTTTTAGTTTTCTGTGTATTGCTGTGATAAAATACTCTGACCAAATGCACTTCCAGGTCACAGTCCACCTTTGAAGGAAGTCCGGGCAGGAACTCAGGGCAGGACTGAAGGAAGGACTGCTTGCTCCTCCATGCAGTATTACCTCCAACCAGGAAACTCACTCACAGCCAAGGCAGGAACCGTGGAGGATGCTGCCTGCTAGCTGGCTCTTCCACATTTTTTTTTTTATAAAGCCCAGGACCACCTGCTGGAGTGGTGCCTTCCACACTGGGCTGGGACTTCCTGTGTCCGTTTATAATAAGGATAATCCCTCACAGTTATGCCCACTGACAGCCTAACTAGGCAGTTCCTCAGTTGAGGCTTCTTCCCTCAGATGACTCTAGGCTGGGTCAAGTTAACAATTAAGGCTAACATGGGCCCAGTACAGCCACCAACATATATTGGAAGAAAAACAGGAAGACTAATGGAAGGAAAGAAGGAAGGAAGGAAAGGGGAAGGAAAGAAGGAAAGAAAAGATGTAGTGGAACCCCAGTAGAATCTTTGTATGGAGGGTGAACATCAGAATGAATAGTTGTTTAGACTGATGGAGGGTAAACATCAGAATGAAGAGTTGTTTACACTACATGGAGGGTAAACATCTGAAGGAATAATTGTTTAGATTGTATGGAGGGTAAGCATCAGAATGAATAGTTGTTTACACTGTATGGAGGGTAAGCATCAGAATGAAGAGTTGTTTACACTGTATGGAGGGTAAACATCAGAATGAAGAGTTGTTTACACTGTATTGAGGGTAAACATCAGCATGAATAGTTGTTTTCTAGAAGTACTTAGACTTTGAAGACATCATTGTAGAAACAGTGATTGTTTCTGTTATCTACAGAGTTGTTTTTCTGAAGGAGCTTTATGGCCTTTGCATGACGTCACAAGATGGTCCGGGCACACCTAGAGCATCTTACGTTGTTGGGTACTGCAAACAGCACACAATAAGGACTAAAGTTGCAGGGGTCTGATATTTTCCTTCACAAAACATGCACATTAGATCAGGGGCTTTGGTATGAGGAACTTGTTTACCTCCCCAAAACAACTTTTTCATAACAATCAATAAATCTGCCTTTGCACAGCTGTTCGGGGTTCAGTTCCTTGAAAGTGTTCCTCCCGGCTGCCACAGAGCCTGGCTTACATCTTGGAGGGACTCTCTTTGATTGTCCCCTGCAATACAGAACACCAACAGGAAAAGAGAGGAGAAAACAGAGCGGCAAGAAGGTGAGAGGGAGGGAGGGCAGAGGGAGGGAGGAGCTTGAGATCAGCAGTGCCATAGACATGGGTAGAGCAGAGGGGAGGAGGGGCCGAAAGGCCAGGAGGAGGCATCCAGGAATGTCATCGTCTAAACCTCTATCTTGCATCAAATGTTTCATAAATTACTTCAGCTAATTGTATTTAATAGCCAGAAGGGGAAAGGGTAAAAATGTTTCCTTTCTACTGCAGTAGTGGTGCAGGCCTTTAATCCCAGCACTCAGAAGGCAGAGGCAATGAGTTCAGGGCCAGCCTGGTCTACGTAGTGAGTTCCAGGACAGCTGGGGATACATAGAGAAACTCTGTCTCAGAAAACAAACAAAGAAACCAAAACATGTTTCCTTTGAGTGTTGAGCAAAGAGAAATGTCAAAGTTAAGGAATTTTTTCAGGATCTCACAGCTGGTTTTGAAGGTTAGGGGTCCAGGCTGTACCCAGTACCCCAAGGTGGGCAGACATTTCTCAAGTTCCAGTTGGCTGATTAACAGCCCGTCTGCTTTACAGTATGTTGTGGGCTGTGAGCAATCGGCTGCTTTTCAATTTCAATTTGGTTATCAAATGTTCTTAAGAGCCTGTTGAGGACCATCCCACTTATACTAAAGTAGAAGATGAAATGATTGAACAGTTTGGGTGGGAAGCAGAGAGGCAAGCCTGCCCCACCAGACTCCAAGGCCTTGGAAGCTGAGGGTCATTGTTGGCTTTTCTGGGGTCAGTTTGTTGCAGGAATCCTAAGCAACAAGTTTCCATGGTGCACACAAACTAACACTCCAGCCAGCTAAGGTGGCCTGCAGCACAGAGCGCCTAGGAGAGACAGTAAGTGTTTTAATCTTAGTTCTTTATTTTTATTAGACAAATCATATTTAACTCAAGAATGTACTACTGATTACTTTTTAAAGCCAAGGCACATCTGTCTTGAAGAATTGGAGTTCAGATATACTTGATCAAATTCATAGGGATTCATGCAAAGGGAAGTTTGCTAAATTTCAGTGGTTATAGATAAGTTAGTGAATTCAGGTCAATTCACATGCCATAAAACTGGGTATGTTTAAAGCATCTAATTCTGTGGGTTTTAGAATTTTAGAGTTAGGAAACTGTTGCTGCCACAGTCTGATTTTCAAGGAGTTCATCACCCCCAAATGAAGCCCTGTACTTTGCCAGCACTCAGGGCTCACACCTACCCCCAACTGGTCCTAGACAACTATTGGTCTACATTTGACTCCAGAGATTTGCTGGCTCTGTGCCTCTGTCATGCACATGGAAGCAGGTAATACGTGGTGTTCTCTGTCTGACTTTGTTCACATAGCATGTTTCATGATTCTTCCATAAAAACATCTATCACTCTTCACTCATTGAGTGTATGTGTGAATATGTGTGTGGCAGATGGAGGCCAACCCTCTGTCTTGTTCCTCAGGAGCCACGCACCTTGCTTTTTGAGACAGGGTCTCTCATTGGCCTGTAGCTCACCAGGTAGGTTAGCCTGGCTGGCCAGTAAGCCACACAGATCTGCCTGTCTCTCCCTCCCCAGGTAGAGCTTGAAGTGTGCTCCCACAGGGATGGAGGGTGGACATGGAAGGTCTGGGAAATGAGTGGGGTTGGGATACATGATGGGGAATCCCAAAAGAACCAACAACAACAACAAAAAGAATGCAGTATGTTCCCCTGCCATGTATACCGGGGATTGAACTGGGATCCTCACACTTGCACCGCAAAGACTACCAACTGAGCTGTCTGTCCATCCTGCTTCATTTCTGTTGTCAAATAATATTCTGCTGTCTGGATATTATATTTTTGTTTTGTAATCTGTTGGCTAATATCAAGAATATTTTCACTTTTGCCGGTTATGACTCCCCATGAACATTCATGTTCATTTTTTGTTTGTTTGTTTGTTTTGTTTTGTTTTTGGAGACAGGGTTTCTCTGTGTAACAGCCCTGCCTGTCCTGGAACTCACTCTGCAGACCAGGCTGGCCTTGAACTCACAGAGATCCCCCTGCCTCTGCCTCTCAAGCGTGCACCACCACCACTCACACCACTCAGCCTCATGTCCAAATTTTTTATAGCTATATTTTTCCTTCTTTTTGATGGATATACTCTATTTAATAACTCACTATGAAGGCACAGCAATCAAGATTGTGGAAATACTAGCACAAAAGAGGATAGGAAAGCAAGTCTAGAAATAAAGCTGTTAGGGCCCTGGAGAAGTCCCACAAAAGACCACCATCCACATATGCAATCAACAAGAGCATTTATATCTCGAGAAAGCTTCCAGCATTCTGGGCCCGGCCATTCCATACAAAGGCAAAATGGTGACGACCCTAAAAGAGATGTGTGAACTCCTTTTAAGCAGAGCTGAAGGGGAGTTCCTAGGGCAGTCAGGTCATTTTAGATATAATTGGCTTAAGCAAGTGGCAATCATATTAGTACATTCTAATTGGCCAGGGCTAGTCAGGGGCTGGTCAGGACTACAGTTTTCCATTTAGGGGCAGGCCTGGACAAGTCCCAGGCCTTATTTTGTTATTACCTTGAGCTTGCTGACTATGAGGACTGGCTCAAATGTCCAGGCTTGCTACTCCCTATCTCCCTTGTCCCTGTTGTCAGGGGCACCAATGATTAATTGCCCTTTGTTCTTAGCTTCTTCAGAAACATTCTTTCCAGTTTCAAGAGCAGGGACTGAGGCCTAGTTTTTATCTGAGTTATTAGGGCAGGCTGTCATGGTATTTGCCTGGCCCTCTCAAAAGTCCTGTGCTCATGTTCCTTGCTTTTCACAGTTGTTTATACACGGGTATATAAAATGTACAGATAAATAAAATATGTTCACAATTGATCACAGATACAAATGCAAGACTGAAGCCGTCAAGGCAGAACAAGGAAAATTGCCTATGGCCATCTAGTTCTCTCAGTAGCATTTGCTGAAAGCCTCCTCCCCCCCACTGAACTGCCTGCCATGAGTCCTGAAGTCAGGATGTCGGGGCCTCTCACCCTATCCCTTTTGAGATGGTTTTGCCTGTTTGGGTTTCTGTTTGCTTGTTTCTTCTTCTTTTTCTTTTTGCATTTCTATATGATTTTTCTGGGGGCTGGGGCATTCGCTCTTCAATTGTCTGGAAATAAAATATTGCCACCCATTCAGTCTTCTGGCTTCCTCATCCACATGTTGTGCAAGCTCTTTGGTGTGGCCTCAGATGTGGAGCAGATGGGTACGGTTAAAGCTTAGAGGCTTGTGTAGAAGTCAAGCGCAAGGGCTTTTGCACACTGGCTGTAAAAATGGTTTTCTGCTTAGTAACACCTGAAGATGAGATCTATGAATATTTGTTTATTGTTGATCAAATCCTCTAGGGTAAGGTAAGGGTTGTCTGTTAAATATTTATTTTTAAATTTGAGTTTATTTTGTACGTGTGCATGTGTGTGTGTGTGTGTGTGTGTGTGTGTGTGTGTGTGTGTGTGTGTGTGTACATACGTGTGGAAGCATAGGAAGCATACATCAACTCTGGGTGTCTTCTTCAGCTGTTCTCCACAGAATTCTTTAGAGACCGGGCCTCTCACTGAACTTCTAGTCATTTATTCTGCTAAATTGGCTGGCCAGTGATCTCCAGAGATCTGCCCGACTCCAGTCCCCCAGCTTTGAGATCACAGTCACCAGCTGCGGCAGGCATCCTTGGACATGGGTTCTGGGGATCTGAACTCTGGTCCTCCTGCTTGTGGAGCAAGCCCTTCACCAAGTGAGCCACCGTCCCTGGCCCCAGTGAGTCCAATTTAAAAAGTGAGACGCGAGGGCTCGGGAAAGATCGGGGCAGGCAAGATGCTTGATGTATAAGCTGAGGACCAGAGTTTGAATCTTGACACCCATGTAAGTGCTAGGTGTGAGTCTAATGGCCCATCCCAGTTCTCAGGAGGCAGAGACGGGAGATCCCAGGGAAAGCTGGCCAGGTAGCTGAATCACTGGGCTACGGCTTCAAGGGAAACATATTTCCTCAATATATAAGGTGGGAGAAGACGCTCAACCTCTGGCCTCCTCATGTCCTCTCATACACATGCTTGCACACCCTCACCCCATATGTATCTACGCACATGCAAGCATGCATCCCCACACATGCCAAAAAAGGTGAAATGCTGTGTGTACCATCTTCTCTGTTACTCCACGAAGCACATGCAGAACACCTTTCTCTTGTCACACACTCAACCTTTGTCTTGCATAACTAGAGACTCTGATTTGCTTGGGTCAAGGTCAAGGGTCCTTGTTCCCAACATTCCACTGGTGATACTATGTATCTATCCCCTCTAATGAGAACCACCATCCCCTTTTGCTGTGTCCCGCAAGTGTCCAGTCTTGCTCCCTGCCCTCTGCTCCCTGCTTTCCACTCAGAGAGAAGCTGCTATCCAGTCTGGTGAGTGGTTAAGCCTGCCGTGGGAGCTCATTACAATTGCAGAATTTAAGGCCTTATCTACTACCTACCCAGCCAGAAACACAAACAATTTCCCTAATCGATCTGTGCAGACAGAAGTTGGCAATCTGTGACCTCTAGGCCAAATCCCGTTCCTGTTTTGAAGGCTTATAGTCATCTAAGATACCCAGCCTTCCTAGGTTGGCTCAAGGAGGCTTGCAGGGTGAGCCTTCACATCGCCACCCTCGTTGACCTTTTCACCCCAGTCACCTGCTTGCCCAGCCCCCACTAT